TGCTAGATGCCATATACTAGATATTAGATACTAGATACTTGATACTAGATGCTAGATGCTAGATATTAGATACAATATACTAGATACTAGAAGCCAGATACTAGATACTAGATACCAGACACGAGATACCAGATACTAAATACTAGATACCAGATACTAGATAATAGATGCTAGATGCTAGATACTAGATATTATATACTAGATACTAGATACCATATACTAGATACTAGATGTTAGATACCATATACTAGATATTAGATACAAGGTACCAGATACTAGATGCTAGATACCAGATACTAGATGCTAGATACCATATACTAGATATTAGATACTAGATACTAGATATCGGATACTAGATCCTAGAGACTAGATACTAGATACCGTATACTAGATATTAGATACTAGATACCAGATGCTAGATACTAGATACTAGATACCAGATACCTGATACCAGAATCAGTTCCGGTTTTGTCCACAATTTTTTAACATAGATCTATGCACAGATTATCGACTAGAATTAGATATATTCAAGTAGATTGATGTCTTGTTTTCCGTTTGTCACAATGACCTGTGACATGAGACCCCTTCTGGGTGCGTTCTAAGACAGATGGCCTATTTCCTCAATGTTTAAGTACGCGGTCCAGGGGGCACCATTTTAGGGGCTCTTGTCATGGTTTCCATGTAGATAATCTTTCTGTGCCAAAATGTTATCTTTCGGTTACAAATTAAAATAAACTCAAATTTCAGAACACTGCAACTCACCTGTGACGAGCGTTGCCACAACTACCAGGAACACAGGCATGATGAAGTCGCCGACCACGGCTGCCGTCAATGACGTAGCAGCTCCACGCCCTGCTCCTCCCGTGTGTTTGGTCCACACAAAGTGATATGCACAATACTCGACAAGGAAATGCATGTAACCGAGCAGAAGTTCTTAGGGAAAGCTGATATATACAGGGAAACATGTAATGAAACAGTTCCTGATGATAAGCAGGTGTTGCGTCACACATGAGATACACCTGCATTAACACGTCTGACCCCATCGTATTGCCCTGCCCCATACCTCTCTCAGAGTGAGTGAGTGAGTGAGTGAGTGTGGTTTTACGCCGCTGTTAGCAATATTCCAGCAATATCACGGCGGGGGACACACATTGTACCCATGTAACCACTAGGCTACCCGACCGCCCCGCAGTCAACACGTACAGCTTGAATCCGGATGGGATGTGTTGTTTACACAGCAGAAGTAATTTAAAATTAAGATATCGATATCGTACATATTTTCAGGTCCCTCGATCACTTGATTGTCTGGTTTGTTTGCATGGATACTGCTCCGTGGCGTCAGACAAACAACGCTACCTTTTGCAAGAGTGAGTGAGTTTGATTTTACGCCGCTTTTAGCAATATTCCAGCAATATCACGGCGGGGGACACCAGAAATGGGCTTCACACATTGTACCCACGTCGGGAATCGAACCCTGGTCTTCGGCGTGACGAGCGCACGCTTTTACCGCTAGGCTACCTGACCTCCCCAACTTTTGTGTAAAGGTAAAGTTTGAGTGGTGGTAGCGGGACGATTGTTAACGAGAACCTGGTGTCATCACTGATTTTCAGTGCTCCATTCAAATAATCTTTGACGCTATTTTGCCTTTTATCCCTAATGGAGTTTGTTTCGGGGTTTAATTGAGACTGGCTGCACTCTTGCCTTGACTCACACGTTTAACATAGTAACCACGTGACCCCTGGGGCAGGCAGGTTAGTGAGGTCCACCGCAACACCGGATAGGTCCAGGCCATCTTGCCAACATCTCGCAATAGAAACAAAACACAAAGTTGATGGTGAAAGCGAGTGATTCTTGCTTCTGTCGTCAGTAGAGCCAAATGTGTTGCTTTCATCCCTATCCGGTGGTCACTGTGGCCTTGACATTCGGAGGCTCGTCGTCTTCAATGGGGTTGAAACAGTTAACACATTCACACTGTAGACAGACAGCACGACTGCATTCACATCACCTTCCTTGTGGGTGGTCGACAAGAGTTCAGAGAAATTAAAATCGCTGTCGTCTAAGGCGCCACTATACTCTGTGCAGAGTTGCGTCCCTTGGGCATGCCAGTAACCTGTGATTGTTGGTTCGAATCCCGGTTCGCCACGATTATGTTTCTAGGTTTGTCAGCACCATACCCGTGCTCGTGGGTTTCACCGAAGTGGTAAACGTCTGAGGCCGGCGTCACTTCAGGCTTTCCTCCCACTTGAAGCTGAGACGACGTGATATCTGTTTCGGTTTGTACTCTATTTAGTTACAAAAATGGAAATCACCGTTACAACATGATTGAAAACAAACACCAACTGACAATAAAGATGTTTACCATCTTGCAGCATTGACCGCATAATATATAGCGCGTGATTGCCCGTACAGTGACGGTCACAAAACACTATATTGCGTTGGTTTTATTGTCAGTTTCACACAGATGAGTTTGTTTGAGATATTGTTGATATTGCGAACGCTTTAACCACTAGGCTACCCGACCGCCCCTTGTTTGAGATAAGGGTATGATGAATTTCATTGTTTTATTAAGAGCATGACAATTCAATTGCATCTGTGAGTAGGTAGGGGACCTCAGGCCTCAGTGGCTGCAGAGAGACTTCAGGATCGTTGGGTTGAACAAATAGTACCCGCCTACATTGCTAAGATGCATAGGGCGGTCGGGCAGCCCAGTGGTTAAAGCGTTCGCCCGTCACGCCGAAGACCCGGGTTCGATTCCCGACATGGGCACAATGTGTGAAGCCCATTTCTGGTGTTCCCCGCCGTGATATTGCTGGAATATTGCTAAAAGCGGCGTAAAACCATACTCACTCACTCACTCACCCACTAAGATGCATAAGTTGCAAACAGTAATAAGATGCATGACCCTCTCATTACACAAGGACGGGTGGGTGGGGGAGGTTAGAGTTGGGTGAGGGTGCTAGGGTGATATCAGCTCGGGTGGTATCACAGTGGTTATCTCGCTCAGCACCTCCACTCCACGACTTCCGCTGTTTGAGATAACACCCGGTTGTGTTATCACTGTGGAGACAGTCATCGGGTGCAGGTTGAATTTGTGGGGCCTCTTTATGTATTCTAACGATCTGTTTACAATAATTAATGGATTCAAATTTACGACTGATCGACTAAACTGCAAATATGGTGCACAGAGAAGGATTTTTACTCAATAGCAACACTGACAATATGCTATGAGCATTAGCGAATAGTGAACAGTAAGTACAATCTCGTGCAAGATGTGAAGGTATGACGTCATGTATTAAGTACAAGTTTGTACAAGGTGTGAAGATATGACGTCATGCATTAAGTACAAGTTCATACAAGGTGGAGACCGCCTCCGTGGTCTAGTGGTAGAGCGTCCGCCCAGAGAGCGGAAGGTCCGGGGGTCGATCCCCGGCCGCGTCATACCAAAAGACGTTAAAAGATGGTACTTGTTGTTACCCTGTCTGGCGCTCGGCATTAAGGGGTTAAAGCAAGGACTGGTCGGCTCGGTGTCAGTATACTGTGTCTGAGTGGGGTATTCATGTTAAACTACGGCATGGTATCTCAGTGGGCTAGCACTATAAATCGGCATCAGTCCGGTCTAGTACAAGCAGCCACACACACACACACGTGCATGCACGTCGCTATATAAGTGCAATAATCTCATTCCTCATTCAAGGTGGGAAGATATGACGTCATGCATTAAGTTCAAGTTTGTACAAGGTGGTAAGATATGACGTCATGCATTAATTTCAAACATGGTGGGAAGATATGACGTCATGCATTAAGTACAATTTTGTACAAGGTATGAAGATATGACGTCATATATTTAATCTAAGTTCACACAAGGTGGGAAGATATGACGTCATGCATTAAGTACAAGTTCACACAAGGTGGGAAGATATGACGTCATATATTTAATCCAAGTTCAAACATGGTGGGAAGATATGTCGTCATGCATTAAGTACACGTTCGAACAAGGTGGGAAGATATGACGTCATGCATAAAGTACAAGCTCATACACGGTGTGAATATATGACGTCATGCATTTAGTACAAGTTCGATGTCACCTCTCAAGATGTGAAGATATGACGTCATGCATTAAGTACAAGTTCGAACAAGGTGGGAAGATGTGACGTCATGCATTAAGTACAAGTTTGTACAAGGTGGGAAGATATGACGTCATGCATTAAGTACAAGTTTGTACAAGGTGGGAAGATATGACGTCATGCATTAAGTTCAAGTTCGAACAAGGTGGAAGATGTGACGTCATGCATTAAGTACAAGTTCGAATAAGGTGTGATGGTATGACATATCACCTCTCACAGGTTTACAGCCGATGTCTCCTCTCACGATTTTACTAATAGAACAGCAGTTTTATTGATGATATTAATTTTATTAATGATGGTTATTTTATTGATGTTATTGGTTTTATTGATGATATTGACTTTATTGATGTAAGTGGTTGTAGAAATGCTATTGACTTTATTGATGTCATTTGGTTTTATTGATGTCAATAGTTTTATTGATGATATTGATATTGCTATTATATGTTTTATTTATTTTATTGATGTTAATGGTTGTATTAATGTTATTGATTTCATGGTGTTGATTTTATTTATGTTGGTTTTATTGATGATATTGATTGTATTGATGTAATTCACTTTACTGGTGATATTGGTTGGTGATGTTATTGATGCTATTATTTCATTGATGATATTGATTTTATTGATGATATTTGTGGGTGATGTCACTGATGTTATTGGTCACATATAACTTGCATGTATTTTACGTGTTTTTATTTTTCAAAACAGTTTTAACATGACCGATACGATGTTCCCCGGTGCTGCAAACACTATCAGGCCTGATGTTGGAACAGGGGCCGATATTAGATGAGTGTCATTGGTGTCAGTATCATAGAGTGTGGCCTGATATTGCGAGGTGGGGGGGTATGGGGGTTGTGAGAGAGGGGCTGATAGTGGGTCCTGATAGGGCTGTCGTGAGTGCTTGTAGGGACACAGGTAGCTAAATACCCGCCACATCCCCCGAGACTCTCAGTCCAACCTGAGGGACACGGCCACACACATCTACACAGCACAAGCCGTTCACCAACTGACGTGCAGTACCAATACAAGTAAGTACACGACCTAGACTTAAAGTTGACGACCGCACAGCATCAAGACGAATTAACTTAGGATTTGAAACTAAACGTAGACTTGGTGTTGAAATCTGTGCAGCACCAATACACCTACGTTGTTGAGTAAATTAAGTTCGACAGCAGCGGCACCAATTCCGATTACTTCAGCCGAATATAATGACCTTTTTCTCTCACCGAAATCGACTAAATGTATATATTTATGAAAATTCATGTTGTCTTTAATTACCTACACACATTCCCAGCCTGCATGAGTTGGTTTGTTGTTTAACGCCGCACTCAGCAATATTCCAGCATTATGACGGCGGTCTGTAGATAATCCAGTGATTAATATCATGAGAGTCGATCAACGCAATTGGGATCGATGACATGCATCAACCAAGTTGACCGCCCGATCCCGTTAGTCGCCTCCTACGACAGGCATAGTCGCCTTTGCCGGCAAGCATGGGTTGCTGAAGACCTATCTTCACGGCAAGCATGGGTTGCTGAAGACCTATCTTCACGGCAAGCATGGGTTGCTGAAGACCTATCTTCACGGCAAGCATGGGTTGCTGAAGAGCTATCTTCACGGGTCTCAGCCCGCATGAACAAGACGAGAACATTGCACGTCATCATCATTTGGATTGTATCATTGTAAAGTGTGTTTAAAATTGTATTACTTGCTATCTCTACCTTACAGACTCCACTGACAACACCGTCTGTGACAAAGTCACACAATATCCACAAAACTATCTAGTAATGAGTTTCGGAATCGGGGCGGTCAGGTAGCCTAGTGGTTAAAGCGTTGGTCCGTCACGCCGAGTACCCGTGTTTGATTCCCGACATGGGTATAATGTGTGAAGCCCATTTCTGGTGTCCCCCGCCGTGATATTGGTGGAATATTGCTAAAAGCGGCCTTAAATCAAACTCACTTACTAACTGTTTCAGAATCTCCCAAAATCACGAGAATCTCTGCTCAGTCAGAATGTTGTCACTGGCTCTACTGTGCTGCGTTTTGGCGAGTGTGTCGGCTCAGTGTCAGCCAGGCGGGAACTGTAAGCTCCCAGACTGCCGCTGTTGGTTCGATGAAGACATCCCAGGGGGCCTTGCGCCGGATGAGACCCCTCAGGTTGTCCTGGTGACATTCGAGGACGCCGTGAACGAGGTGAACGCCGACATATACAAGTCCCTATTCACAGGTAACAAAAATATGGTTTCTTATTGACAGGTAACAAAAGTACTGTTTCCTATTCACCGGTAACTATTTTACACTTACTCCTCCCCAATCCTGTCAATCAACACACTAAGCGCTCCCCTATCCTGTCAGTAACCACACTGACAATCTCTTTGTCTCTTCAGGTACCAATCCTAACGGCTGCCCAGCCAGAGGAACATTTTTTATCAAGAACCTTGACACAAACTATGACATCGTGCGTGACTTGTTCGACGATGGCCATGAGATTGGAGCCAACTCTCTTGATGGTTCCTACCCTGCTAACGAGGAAGATTGGAGGACTATGCTGCAGAGTGAGTGATATGTATACCACTATAATACCTTACCCTAACCCTAACCCTAACCCTGACCCTGAACCTAACCCTAACCCTGAACCTAACCCTAACCCTGAACCTAACCCTAACCCTAACCCTAACCCTAACCCTGAACCTAACCCTAACCCTAACCCTAACCCTAACCCTAACCCTAATCCTGACCCTGAACCTAACCCTAACCCTAACCCTAACCCTAACCCTAACTCAAAACCTAACCCTAACCCTAACCCTGACCCAAACTCTAACCCTAACCCTAACCCTAACTCTCACCCTAACTCAAAACCTAACTCTAACCCTAACCCTAAACCTAACCCTTACCCTTACCCAAACCCTAACCCTGAACCTAACCCTAACCCTAACCCTAACCCTAACCCTAACCCTAACCCTAACTCTAACCATGGACTAAGGAGGGCCGGAGGACCACGGTCCAGCGTATGCAATGTGTATGCTATCCCTGTCTAATGTGTATGCTTAACTTTCGGGTTCAATTGGTCTTCAGCCATCTGTATAGGTCATCAATGGCAACTAGCAGGATCGGGTGGTCATGCGCACTCACTTGGTTGATTAGTGCCACTGTGTCCCAATTTCGTAAATCAATGGTCATGGTGTTAATCATTTGATTGTCTTGTCCAGAATCAATAACTTAAGGAGCACTGTCATGAAGATGAAATATCTATAAGCCCTAGCTCTAACCCAAAGGTGTTAATACACGCAAATTACGCAACGCTGATTCTTTAGCCTCACCCTTATTTGAACCCTATTTTGGCCATAACGACGACGATGAAAATAGCTTTAAGTAAAAGAATGGTGAAGTTAAATATTATATAACATAAACATAACTAAATATACTTTCATGGTTAACTCTGAGGTGAACTTTTACGTTGCTATAATAACTTGCAAATGTTGTCACAAACAGCTTTCATCAAGAAACCTAAACTCACCATTATTTCAAAAACGTTAAAGATGGTTTATCTTACAGGGTGTGACCTCTCAACGTGTTATCTCATGGTGTTATTGTTGTGGTCGCTGAACGTGTAACCTCATGTTGTATAGGGTGTGACCTCTCAACGTGTTATCTCATGGTGTAATGGTTGTGGTCGCTGAACGTGTAACCTCATGTTGTATAGGGTGTGACCTCTCAACGTGTTATCTCATGGTGTAATGGTTGTGGTCGCTGAACGTGTAACCTCATGTTGTATAGGGTGTGACCTCTCAACGTGTTATCTCATGGTGTAATGGTTGTGGTCGCTGAACGTGTAACCTCATGTTGTATAGGGTGTGACCTCTCAACGTGTTATCTCATGGTGTAATGGTTGTGGTCGCTGAACGTGTAACCTCATGTTGTATAGGGTGTGACCTCTCAACGTGTTATCTCATGGTGTAATGGTTGTGGTCGCTGAACGTGTAACCTCATGTTGTAAAGGGTGTGACCTCTCAACGTGTTATCTCATGGTGTAATGGTTGTGGTCGCTGACAGTGTAACCTCATGTTGTATAGGGTGTGACCTCTCAACGTGTTATCTCATGGTCTAATGGTTGTGGTCGCTGAACGTGTAACCTCATGTTGTATAGGGTGTGAACTCTCAACGTGAAACCTCATGTTGTATAGGGTGTTACCTCGCATCCTGTAATCTCATGTTTATATGGGGTGTGACCTCTCAACGTGTAATGTCATGTTGTATAGGGTGTGACCTCCCAACGTGAAACCTCATGTTGTATAGGGTGTGACCTCTCAACGTGAAACCTCATGTTGTATAGGGTGTGACCTCTCAACGTGAAACCTCATGTTGTATAGGGTGTGACCTCTAAACGTGTAATCTCATGTTATATAGGGTGTGACCTCGCATCCTGTAATCTCATGTTTATATGGGGTGTGACCTCTCAACGTGTAACCTCATGTTGTATAGGGTGTGACCTCGCAACCTGTAATCTCATGTTTATATGGGGCGTGATCTCTCAACGTGAAACCTCATGTTGTATAGGGTGTGAACTCTGAACGTGTAACCTCATGTTGTATAGGGTGTGACCTCTCAATGTGTAATGTCTTGGTGTATAGCATATGACCTCTCAAGGTGTAATCTCATGTTGTATAGGGTGTGACCTCTCAACGTGTTATCTCATGGTGTAATGGTTGTGGTCGCTGAACGTGTAACCTCATGTTGTATAGGGTGTGACCTCTCAACGTGTTATCTCATGGTGTAATGGTTGTGGTCGCTGAACGTGTAACCTCATGTTGTATAGGGTGTGACCTCTCAACGTGTTATCTCATGGTGTAATGGTTGTGGTCGCTGAACGTGTAACCTCATGTTGTATAGGGTGTGACCTCTCAACGTGTTATCTCATGGTGTAATGGTTGTGGTCGCTGAACGTGTAACCTCATGTTGTAAAGGGTGTGACCTCTCAACGTGTTATCTCATGGTGTAATGGTTGTGGTCGCTGACAGTGTAACCTCATGTTGTATAGGGTGTGACCTCTCAACGTGTTATCTCATGGTCTAATGGTTGTGGTCGCTGAACGTGTAACCTCATGTTGTATAGGGTGTGAACTCTCAACGTGAAACCTCATGTTGTATAGGGTGTTACCTCGCATCCTGTAATCTCATGTTTATATGGGGTGTGACCTCTCAACGTGTAATGTCATGTTGTATAGGGTGTGACCTCCCAACGTGAAACCTCATGTTGTATAGGGTGTGACCTCTCAACGTGAAACCTCATGTTGTATAGGGTGTGACCTCTCAACGTGAAACCTCATGTTGTATAGGGTGTGACCTCTAAACGTGTAATCTCATGTTATATAGGGTGTGACCTCGCATCCTGTAATCTCATGTTTATATGGGGTGTGACCTCTCAACGTGTAACCTCATGTTGTATAGGGTGTGACCTCGCAACCTGTAATCTCATGTTTATATGGGGCGTGATCTCTCAACGTGAAACCTCATGTTGTATAGGGTGTGAACTCTGAACGTGTAACCTCATGTTGTATAGGGTGTGACCTCTCAATGTGTAATGTCTTGGTGTATAGCATATGACCTCTCAAGGTGTAATCTCATGTTGTATAGGGTGTGGCCTCTCAACGTGAAACCTCATGTTATATAGGGTGTGACCTCTCAACGTGTAACCTCATGTTGTATAGGTGTGGCCTCTCAACGTGAAACCTCATGTTATATAGGGTGTGACCTCTCAACGTGTAACCTCATGTTGTATAGGTGTGGCCTCTCAACGTGAAACCTCATGTTGTATAGGGTGTGAACTCTGAACGTGTAACCTCATGTTGTATTGGGTGAGACCTCTCAACGTGTAACCTCATGTTGTATAGGGTGTGACCTCTCAACGTGAAACCTCATGTTGTATAGGGTGTGACCTCTCAACGTGTAACCTCATGTTGTATAGGGTGTGACCTCTCAACATGTAACCTCATCTTGTATAGGTTGTGACATCTCAACATGTAACCTCATCTTGTATAGGGTGTGACCTCTCAACGTGTAACCTCATGTTGTATAGGGTGTGACCTCTCATCGTGTAATCTCATGTTGTATAGGGTGTGACCTCTCAACGTGTAACCTCATGTTGTATAGGGTGTGACCTCTCAACGTGTAATGTCATGATGTAAAGGGCGTGACCTCTCAAAGTGTAATCTCATGTTTATATGGGGCGTCACCTCTCAACGTGTAATGTCATGTTGCATAGGGTGTGACCTCTCAACGTGTAACCTCATGTTGGATAGGGTGTGACCTCGCAACCTGGAATCTCATGTTTATATAGGGCGTGACCTCTCAACGTGTAATGCCATGTTGCATAGGGTGTGACCTCGCAACCTGTAATCTCATGTTCATATGGGCCGTGACCTCTCAACGTGTAACCTCATGTTGTATAGGGTATGACCTCTCAACGTGTAATCTCATGTTGTAAAGGGTATGACCTCGCAACCTGTAATCTCATGTTGTATAAGGTGTGACCTCGCAACCTGTAATCTCATGTTTATGAAGGGCGTAACCGCTCAACGTGTAATGTCATGTTGCATAGGGTGTGACCTCTCAACGTGTAACCTCATGTTGTATAGGGTGTGACCTTGCAACGTGTTGCCTCGTGTTGTTGAGGGTGTGACCCCACAACCTATAATTTCACTTTGTATAGGGTATGACCCCTCAACCAAAGTCTCGTGTTGTATAGAGTGTAATCTCTCAACCTGTAATCTCGTGTTGTATAGAGTGTAATCTCTCAACCTGTAATCTCGTGTTGTATAGAGTGTAATCTCTCAACCTGTAATCTCGTGTTGTATAGAGTGTAATCTCTCAACCTGTAATCTCGTGTTGTATAGAGTGTAATCTCTCAACCTGTAATCTCGTGTTGTATAGGGTGTAATCTCTCAACCTGTAATCTCGTGTTGTATAGAGTGTAATCTCTCAACCTGTAATCTCGTGTTGTATAGAGTGTAATCTCTCAACCTGTAATCTCGTGTTGTATAGAGTGTAATCTCTCAACCTGTAATCTCAACATATGATAATCTAATGTTGCACAAGGATTGACCTCTCAACATGTTGTCTCAAGGTATAATAATCACATGTTGTATAAAGTGTGATCTCTCAATCTATAATCTCAACGTATAGAAATCTAATGTTGTACAAGTATTGACCTCTCAACGTGTTGTCTCAACGTATAGTAATCTCATGTTGGATAAGGGGCGGTCGGGTAGCCTAGTGGTTAAAGCGTTCGCTCGTCACGCCGAAGACCCAGGTTCGATTCCCGACATGGGTACAATGTGTGAAGCCCATTTCTGGTGTCCCCCGCCGTGATATTGCTGGAATATTGCCAAAAGCGGCGTAAAACCATACTCACTCACTCACTCACTCATGTTGGATAAAGTGTGATTTCCCAACCTGTAATCTCAACGTATAGTAACCTAATGTTGTTCAAGGATTGACCTCTCAACGTGTTATCTTAACATATAGTAATCTAATGTTGTACAAGGATTGATCTCTCAACCTGTAATCTCAACGTATAGTAACCTAATTTTGTACAAGGATTGACCTCTCAACCTGTAATCTCAAGGTACAGTAATCTAATGTTGTACAAGGATTGACCTCTCAACCTGTAATCTCGACGTATAGTAATCTAATGTTGTACAAGGATTGCCCTCTCAGCCTGTAATCTCAACGTACAGTAATCTAATGTTGTACAAGGATTGACCTCTCAACCTGTAATCTCAACGTAAAGTAATCTAATGGTGTACAAGGATTGACCTCTCAACGCACAGTTACTTCATGCTGTATGGGGCGTAACTAAGGTTCGGTAATTCTCGATATGACGCTGTTTGTTTCAGCAATCAAACGTGAACTCGCGGATGTTGGCATAACCGGAAATGAAGTAAAGGGTGTCAGAGCACCAGAGTTGAGAGCCGGCGGCCTCGACGAGTTCATCGGCATGGGCGACAACAACTTTGACTACGACGCCTCCTGTATCACGTCTGAGTTTGATACACAGGTAGATGTGATATAAGCCCAGTGATAACAGGCAAACTGTGACGATAAGGAGGGCTTGGCAGTTGGCATAGATGAAGATAGTGATGGGGGCAGGTAGGATAGATGAAGATAGTGCTGGGGGCAGGAAGGATAGATGAAGATGGTGATGGGGCAGGAAGGATAGATGAAGATGGTGATGGGGCAGGAAAGATAGATGAAGATGGTGAGGAGATGGGAAGGATAGATGAAGATGGTGATAGGGGCATGTGGGATAGATGAGGATAGTGAGGGGGCAGGAAGGATAGATGAAGATAGTGGGGGGGGGGGGGGGGGGGGGCATGTGGAATAGATGAAGATAGTGATGGGGTAGGAAGGATAGATGAAGATAGTGATCAGGCAGGAAGGATAGATGAAGATAGTGATAGGGGCATGTGGAATAGATGAAGATAGTGATAGGGGCATGTGGGATAGATGAAGATAGTGATAGTCAAAGGATAGTCAAAGGGTTTCTATTCTGTTTTTGCAGGCCAACCTGAAATGGCCGTACACCTACGACTTTATCCCCGGACCTTCCTGCAACGACGGCGAGCCACCAAACGCGCCCTTCCCTGGTGAGTACATCCCCATGTATATCCCACCCTTCCCTGGTGAGTGCCTCCCTATGTATATCCCGCCCTTCTGTGATGAGTAAATCCCCATGTATATCCCACCCTTCCCTTGTGAGTGCTTCCCCATGTATATCCCGCCCTTCTGTGATGAGTAAATCCCCATGTATATCCCACCCTTCCGTGATGAGTAAATCCCCATGTATATCCCACCCTTCCGTGATGAGTAAATCCCAATGTATATCACACCCTTCTGTGATGAGTAAACCTCCATGTATATCCCACCCTTCCGTGATGAGTAAACCTCCATGTATATCCCGCCCTTCTGTGATGAGTAAACCTTCATGTATATCCCACCCTTCCGTGATGAGTAAACCTCCATGTATATCCCACCCTTCCGTGATGAGTAAACCTCCATGTATATCCCACCCTTCCGTGATGAGTAAACCTCCATGTATATCCCACCCTTCCGTGATGAGTAAATCCCCATGTATATCCCACCCTTCCGTGATGAGTAAATCCCCATGTATATCCAACCCTTCCCTGATGAGTGCTTCCCCATGTATATCCCGCCCTTCCCTGGTGAGTGCTTCCCCATGTATATCCCGCCCTTCCCTGGTGAGTGCTTCCCCATGTATATCCAACCCTTCCCTGGTGAGTGCTTCCCAATGTATATCCCACCCTTCCGTGATGAGTAAATCTCTATGTATATCCCACCCTTCCGTGATGAGTAAATCCCCATGTATATACCACCCTTCCGTGATGAGTAAATCCCCATGTATATCCCAGCCTTCCGTGATGAGTAAATCCCCATGTATATCCCACCCTTCCGTGATGAGTAAATCCCAATGTATATCCCACCCTTCCGTGATGAGTAAATCCCCATGTATATCCCAGCCTTCCGTGATGAGTAAATCCCCATGTATATCCCACCCTTCCGTGATGAGTAAATCCCCATGTATATCCCATCCTTCCGTGATGAGTAAATCCCCATGTATATCCCACCCTTCCGTGATGAGTAAATCCCAATGTATATCCCACCCTTCCGTGATGAGTAAATCTCTATGTATATCCCACCCTTCCGTGATGAGTAAATCCCCATGTATATACCACCCTTCCGGGATGAGTAAATCCCCATGTATATCCCACCCTTCCGTGATGAGTAAATCCCAATGTATATCCCACCCTTCCGTGATGAGTAAATCCCCATGTATATCCCACCCTTCCGTGATGAGTAAATCCCCATGTATATCCCACCCTTCCGTGATGAGTAAATCCCCATGTATATCCCATCCTTCCGTGATGAGTAAATCCCCATGTATATCCCACCCTTCCGTGATGAGTAAATCCCAATGTATATCACACCCTTCTGTGATGAGTAAACCTCCATGTATATCCCATCCTTCCGTGATGAGTAAATCCCCATGTATATCCCACCCTTCCGTGATGAGTAAATCCCAATGTATATCCCACCCTTCCGTGATGAGTAAATCCCAATGTATATCCCACCCTTCCGTGATGAGTAAATCCCCATGTATATCCCACCCTTCCGTGATGAGTAAATCCCCATGTATATCCCACCCTTCCGTGATGAGTAAATCCCCATGTATATACCACCCTTCCGTGATGAGTAAATCCCCATGTATATCCCATCCTTCCGTGATGAGTAAATCCCCATGTATGCCCCACCCTTCCGTGATGAGTAAATCCCCATGTATATCCCACCCTTCCGTGATGAGTAAATCCCCATGTATATCCCATCCTTCCGTGATGAGTAAATCCCCATGTATATCCCACCCTTCCGTGATGAGTAAATCCCCATGTATATCCCACCCTTCCGTGATGAGTAAATCCCCATGTATATCCCACCCTTCCGTGATGAGTAAATCCCCATGTATATCCCACCCTTCCGTGATGAGTAAATCCCCATGTATATCCCATCCTTCCGTGATGAGTAAATCCCCATGTATATCCCACCCTTCCGTGATGAGTAAATCCCAATGTATATCCCACCCTTCCGTGATGAGTAAATCCCCATGTATGCCCCACCCTTCCGTGATGAGTAAATCCCCATGTATATCCCACCCTTCCGTGATGAGTAAATCCCCATGTATGCCCCACCCTTCCGTGATGAGTAAATCCCCATGTATATCCCATCCTTCCGTGATGAGTAAATCCCCATGTATATCCCACCCTTCCGTGATGAGTAAATCCCAATGTATATCCCACCCTTCCGTGATGAGTAAATCCCCATGTATATCCCATCCTTCCGTGATGAGTAAATACCCATGTATATCCCACCCTTCCGTGATGAGTAAATACCCATGTATATCCCACCCTTCCGTGATGAGTAAATCCCAATGTATATCCTACCCTTCCGTGATGAGTAAATCCCCATATATATCCCACCCTTCCGTGATGAGTAAATCCCCATGTCTATCCCACCCTTCCGTGATGAGTAAATCCCAATGTATATCCCACCCTTCCGTGATGAGTAAATCCCCATGTATATCCCACCCTTCCGTGATGAGTAAATCCCCATGTATATCCCATCCTTCCGTGATGAGTAAATCCCCATGTATATCCCACCCTTCCGTGATGAGTAAATCCCCATGTATATCCCACCCTTCCGTGATGAGTAAATCCCAATGTATATCCAACCCTTCACTTGTGAGTGCTTCCCCATGTATATCCAACCCTTCCCTGGTGAGTGCTTCCACATGTATATCCAACCCTTCCCTGGTGAGTGCTTCCCAATGTATATCCAACCCTTCCCTGGTGAGTGCTTCCCCATGTATATCCCGCCCTTCCCTGGTGAGTGCTTCCCCATGTATATCCCACCCTTCCCTGGTGCGTGCTTCCCCATGTATATCCCACCCTTCCCTGGTGAGTGCTTCCCCATGTATATCCCACCCTTCCCTGGAGAGTGCTTCCCCATGTATATCCCGATCTTCCCTGGTGAGTGCTTCCCCATGTATATCCCACCCTTCCCTGGTGAGTGCTTCCCCATGTATATCCAACCCTTCCCTGGTGAGTGCTTCCCAATGTATATCCCACCCTTCCCTGGTGAGTGCTTCCCAATGTATATCCCACCCTTCCCTGGTGAGTGCTTCCCCATGTATATCCCACCCTTCCGTGATGAGTAAATCTCTATGTATATCCCACCCTTCCGTGATGAGTAAATCTCTATGTATATCCCACCCTTCCGTGATGAGTAAATCCCAATGTATATCCCACCCTTCCGTGATGAGTAAATCTCTATGTATATCCCACCCTTCCGTGATGAGTAAATCCCCATGTATATACCACCCTTCCGTGATGAGTAAATCCCCGTGTATATCCCACCCTTCCGTGATGAGTAAATCCCCATGTATATCCCACCCTTCCGTGATGAGTAAATCCCCATGTGTATCCCACCCTTCCGTGATGAGTAAATCCCCATGTATATCCCACCCTTCCGTGATGAGTAAATCCCCATGTATATCCCATCCTTCCGTGATGAGTAAATCCCCATGTATATCCCACCCTTCCGTGATGAGTAAATCCCAATGTATATCACACCCTTCCGTGATGAGTAAATCCCAATGTATATCACACCCTTCCGTGATGAGTAAATCTCCATGTATATCGTCAGTATATCAATGCTAACTTCAGTATATCAATGCTTGACTCCGTTCCTGGGTTAAAATAGGTCTCTAGCAACCCATGCTTGTCGTAAAAGACGACTAACGGGATCGGGTGGTCAGGCTCACTGACTTGGTTGATGCATGTCATTGTATCCCAATGCGTGGATCGATACTCATGATATCAATCACTGGATTGTCTGGTCCAGGCTCGATTATTTAAAGACCACCGTCACATAGCTGGAATATTGTTGAGTGCGGCGTTAAACAACAAACAAACAAACAAACAGTGCGTCTCTGGTTCTCACTGCCTGACTCTATTTATTGTGTGTGCAGGCAAGTGGCAGTTTCTGGTGGCAGCCCTCTCTAACAATGGCACGACATGTGCAACGCCAAGTGCCTGCACCAACTTGCTGACCCAGACAGAAGTCTTTGACCTATTCTTCAACAGGTAAAACCACGTGATATTAATCGCACACGTGCACTCGTACAGACACACACGCGTGCACTCGTACAGGCACACACATGCACTCGTACAGACACTCATGTGCTCTCGTACAGACACATGTGTACTCGTACAGACACACATGCGGCACTCGTACAGACACACATGCGGCGGCACTCTTACAGACACACACATGCACTCGTACAGACACACTTGTCCACTCGTACAGGCACACACATGCACTCGTACACACACATGCACTCGTACAGGCACACACGTGCACTCGTACAGACACACATGCGGCACTCGTACAGACACACACGTGCACTCGTACAGACACACATGTCCACTCGTACAGACACACATGCGGCACTCGTACAGACACACACGTGCACTCGTACAGGCACACACGTGCACTCGTACAGACACACATGCGGCACTCGTACAGACACACACGTGCACTCGTACAGACACACATGTCCACTCGTACAGGCAGACACATGCACTCGTACAGACACACATGCGGCACTCGTACAGACACACACGTGCACTCGTACAGACACACTTGTCCACTCGTACAGGCAGACACATGCACTCGTACAGACACACATGCGGAACTGGTACAGACACACATACACTCGTACAGACACGCACGTGCATTCATACAGACATACACGCACTCGTAAATATTCACGTGCACTCATACAGGCACATGTGCACTCGTACACACATACACGCGCACTCGTACAATCACACATGCGGCCCTCGTACAGACACACACGTGAACTCGTACAGACACACATGCGGCACTCGTAGAGGCACACACGTGCACTCGTACACACACATGCACTCGTACAGGCACACACATGCACTCGTACAGGAACACACATGCACTCGTACAGGCACACACATGCACTCGTACACGCACACACGTGCACTCGGACACACACATGCACTCGTACAGGCACACACATGCACTCGTACAGACACACACGTGCATTCGTACAGACACACACGTGAACTCGTACAGACACACATGCGGCACTCGTAGAGGCACACACGTGCACTCGTACACACACATGCACTCGTGCAGACACACGTGCACCCGTATAGACACACACGTGTAGTCACTGACACACGTGCACTTGTACAGACACACACGTGTAGTCACTGACACACGTGCACTTGTACAGACACAAACGTGCTCACACAAGTATCGCAAAGATGTAAAGTAACGAATTCATACAAAAACATGTCCTTCAGGTTAAACTGGTACACAATGGTGTATGCAAGAGTACAGCTTTGTACCTGTATGTGTTTAAAAGTTATCTAAGAATTTAACGTCAGTTTGAATGGGTTCATTGAAGCCTGAACGATTTAAGAGCGCTTGTTGAACTGTGAACATCCGAGCTTGCGAGAACTTTTCTGTCCATTCACAGGTGTGTGAACTTTGAATATCAAATCACGTGACTTTGCCTTCGTCATGAAAGGACAGTGTAAACCTTAAAGTATGAAATTATATACTATTAACTGTACATATATGTACAACTGTTAAAACGGCGGGGATGTGTACTTGTATATTGTCCCATTTATTACACGTGACATTGCTTCTTCTACACACGCTATTTAGTTTAGTGGTAACAATATTACGTCACAATGTGGTATAGCAGAATTACGTCACAATGTAGTATAGCAGAAGTACGTCACAATGTAGTATAGCAGAATTATGTCACAATGCGGTATAACAGTATGACGTCACAATGCTGTTTAGTTTCGCCTCGCACTACGAGGGCGACCGGTCTCCCTTCACCCTCATCATCAACCCCGACTTCGTCCTTGTGCCGTACAAGCTGGCAGGGCTCAAGGAGTTCCTGGAGTACGTCAGAGCTGCATTCGAGGTAACCTTGACCTCTCTCTCTACCATCTGACCTTGACCTCTCACTATACCTGTTGTTCTTGACCTTTCACTTCGCCATCTGACCTTTACCTCTCACTCTACCTGTTGTTCTTGACCTTTCACTTCACAATCTGACCTTGAACTCTCACGCTACCAGTTAACTTTGACCTCTCACTCCAACTTTGCTTGTTAACTCTGATTTACCTGGTAATACTGATCTGACTCTCTACCTGGTAACCTTTCACCTCTCACATTAACTAATAACCTTGACCCCCATATCTATCCGGTAACACTCACACCTCGTTCTACCTGGGGGGCACGGGTGTCCCACTCGTCTAAGGCGCCGCGATTCGCTGTGCAGAGTTGTGTCCCTTGGGCACGCCAGAAACCTATGATTGTGGGTTCGAATCCCGGTTCGCCCCGATTATGTTTCTAGGTTTGTCAGCACCATACCCTTGCTCGTGGGTTTCACCGAAGTGGTAAACGTCTAAGACCTGCATCACTTCGGGCTTTCCTCCCACATTAAGCTGATACGCCGTGATATAACTGGAATACTGTTAAAAGCGGCGTTAAAACCAAATTCACTCACACACTCACTCTACCTGATAACACGTCTGACGTGACCAGTGAAGATCCAGGCGTGCCGTAAAAGGCGACTATTTTGGTCGTAAAAGGGATCGGATGGTCAGCCTCGCTGACTTGGTTGATGCATGTCATCGATCCCAATTGCGTGGATCGATGCTCATGATATTAATCACTGGATTGTCTGGCCCAGACACGATTACAGAACGCCGGCAAATAGCTGGAATACTGCTGAGTGCTGCGTTAAACAACAAACGAACACATTAATCTGACGTTTCATGTCCATAATCTGAAGGCCTGTATATTCTCAGTGTGTGTTTCTGGTAGTCTGATGGTGTGTCTGTGGTTAATGCCTGCTGGTTGTGTGTTGCAGGACACATGGATTCTACCAATGAACAAGGCGCTGGACTGGATCAAAGACCCCACACCCAGTCTGAACATCTCAACCTTCCAGCCGTGGTCCTGCTAGCTGGAGGCGACTGATGCCGCCTCTGCATGTTGACCTCCATCGGCCCGTATCACACGCATCTACCTACCAGCTGGAGTCGACTCGACTCGACCTGATCCGTCCGCTAACCACACCTCCTTCGCTGACCCCCACTCCAGAAAAATCATATATCATCTTAATCACCCGATGTTCTAAAGTTATGTTATTTACTTGATCTCAGGCTGAATAACCTCCCAGGGTGGCCTCTGACACCCCACCCCTCATGTAGTGTCGCCTATATCTGACACATACCCCCACCCCCTCATGTAGTGTCGCCTATATCTGACACCCCACCCCCTCACGTAGTGTCGCCCATATTTGACACACCCCGACTCATGTCGCCTATATCTGACACCCCTTCATTCAGCGTCCACATCCCAGGTCACGTGTTATACATGCTAATTTCAAAGTGTATTAAATATAACCTGATTCTGTTCTTTTCTTATTATTATTCTTTAAGTAAACACATTACAGGGCGGTATGTTTAGGTTCATTAAACAGGGGAGACAACTCGTCATGTCATATCGTGACGATCTCCTGTGTGGCATTTGTTTATGTTTCAATGACGGATATATACTGTTGTGTGCAGCTCGGCGCATGTCAGTACTTCGACACATACTCACGGGTGTATCTCCAAGTATATAAGTACTTGGATATATACTATTTTGTGCAGCTCAGCACAAGTTTGTTTGTTTGTTTGTTTGTTGTTTAACGCTGCACTAAGCAATATTCTAGCTTTATGACGGCGGTCTGTAAATAATCGAGTCTGGACCAGACAATCCAGTGATTGACATCATGAGCATCGATCCACGCATTTGGGCTACGATGACATGCATCAGATTAGTCAGCGAGCCTGACCACCCGACCCCGTTAGTCGCCTCTTACGACAAGCAGAGTCACAGCTCAGCTCTTATCGCGGTAGATCAATGGCACATAACACAGGCCACAGACATAGTGAATGAGTGAGTTCGGTTTAACGCCGCTTTTAACAGTATTCCAGTTATATCGCGGCGTGTCAGCTTAATGTGGGAGGAAAGCCCGAAGTTATGCAGGTCGTTCACTCGTCTAAGGCGCCACGATTCGCTGTGCAGAGTTGTGTCTCTTGGGCACGCCAGAAACCTATGATTGTGGGTTCGAATCCCGGTTCGCCCCGATTATGTTTCTAGGTTTGTCAGCACCATACCCGTGCTCGTGGGTTTCGCCGAAGTGGTAAACGTCTGAGACCTGCATCACTTCGGGCTTTCCTCCCACATTAAGCTGACACGCCGCGATATAACTGGAATATTGTTAAAAGCGGCGTTAAACCAAACTCACTCACTCACTCATTTCCACAAACGACATGACCTTCTCAGAGACAAGAAACAAGCAACGCAGTAAGCACATTATGATTTATACAGATTACATGATATAGCATTAAGTATATACTGCTGAGAAGCCTTGACCATGGCTTGCCGACTCCCTCGAGACAGGGGATGATGGCGCGAGTTTCACAGCGGCCGAGTGGTCTGTGTGTTGACCGCTGCATGACGCGAGATGGTCAAGGCGCACGGAGTATTGAAAAAAAGGAACTAACGTTCATTGCATTGACATCGTGATTGATGGAGCAGACCCCCCTCGTAGATGTCCGGCATCGCCATTGACAAGACGCAGCACCCATCAACCCTGCCCCACTCACTGGATTGTCTGGTCCAGTTCAGGCTGCCGTCATATAGATAATGTTTCTGAGGGTGCTTAAGCAACAGATAAGGCCTCGGCCAGTTGGATTGACAGCGGAGCCGATGTGAAGCCGATGTGAAGCCGATGTGAAGCCTGGAGATTCAATGAGTGGGTGACTCAGTCAAGAAGGCGAGGCGAAACGGTCAAAAATCGAAACGCATCGTCAAGGGCGATGACTCTTCATACGTCCTATCAAGGAGATAACTAGACTACGGGCGAGTGTCATAAACAAGGGAGATAACTACTCGTCGTTTTCCCACTTGTCCAGGAATTCCTGCAGAGTGACCATACCGTCGTCTCCAGCAACTGCGTCGATAGTGTTGTCGATGACCGTTTCGCTGTAGCCACAGTCCGTTAACAACGCGCGGAACTCATTGCGGTCAAGCTTCCCGTCGCCGCTCTTGTCCGTTTTTTTAAACAGTCTCCTCACGTGACACTTCCTACAAGCAATGATAGAGTGAGGTGTAAAATGACATCACTGTGTGGTATACCAGTATTACGTCACAATGTTGTATAATAGTATGACGTCACTATGTGGTATAATAGGGAGAGAATATGGTTTTACACCGCTTCTAGCAATATTCCAGCAATATCACGGCGAACCCGGGTGACGAGCGAACGCTTTAACCATAAGGCAACCCCACCGCCAGGCGAGGTAACAGTATTAAGTCAATGTGTGGTATAACAATATTACGTCACTGTGTGGTAGTACAGTATGACGTCACTGTGTTGTATAACAGCATTACGTCACTGAGGTATAACAGTATTACGTCACTGTGAGCTATAACAGTATTAGTCACAATATTGTATAACGGTATTACGTCACTGTGTGGTATAACGGTATTATGTCACTGTGTGGTATAACAGTATTACGTCACTGTATGGTATAACAGTATTACGTCACTGTGGTATAACAGTATTACGTCACTGTGTGGTATAACGGTATTATGTCACTGTGTGGTATAAGAGAATTACATCACTGTGTGGTATAACGGTATTACATCAATGTGTGGTATAACAGTATTACGTCACTGTGTGGTATAACAGTATTACGTCACTGTGTGGTATAACGGTATTACGTCACTGTGTGGTATACCAGTATGTCGTCACTGTGTGGTATAACAGTATAACATCACTGTGTGGTATAACAGTATTACGTCACTGTGTGGTACAACGGTATCACGTCACTGTGTGGTATAACAGTATTACGTCACTGTGTGGTATAACAGTATTACGTCACTGTGTGGTATAACAGTATTACGTCACTGTGTGGTACAACGGTATCACGTCACTGTGTGGTATAACAGTATTACGTCACTGTGTGGTATAACAGTATTACGTCACTGTGTGGTATAACAGTATTACGTCACTGTGTGGTACAACGGTATCACGTCACTGTGTGGTATAACAGTATTACGTCACTGTGTGGTATACTTACTCAATCTTATCTTTAGGAACTTTTCCTGTGACGTAATCATTGAGCTCTTGCAGTGAGAGTCGCGAGTCGTCGGAGGTGTCGTATGTGTTGAACGTTTGCTGTTGGACAGAGAAATAAGACCAATGAAATGCAACAACCTTCTCTCGATACTACAACACTACAACACTACAACATTGCAATATACAATATCGATTAAACAAACTAAAGTATTCACGGAAATGAAAAATAAAATAAATGCAGTTAATATACAAAATATATAAATATTCAAACAACTCAATGAGTACTAATTGGGCCTTGGCACAAATACAGCGCATCAAAGGTTTTTATGTCTTTTTACACGACAAAGTGTGTAAAAATATGAACAAAACAGACTATTGTGAAACTGGGCATAACCAGGTGTTAGTAGATCAAGGTGAATGTCCATGAACTGTGACACCTTGACGACAGGTGAAAACAGGTGCTTGAAACCCACGTGCATGTGATTTGTCAGTGGTTAGTGATTTGTTAGTGGCATTATGGGATGGTGAATCATCGTCAAAATATCAGAACGTAAAAGTAACATATTCCCTTCTCAAACAACAACTTTATATGTCATTATTATTATGTACATAAACATAGCTGTTATTTTTATTGCTGTTTCGATAACTTTTTTTCCAGGCTTATTTGCATAATGCCTATAGCCTGTTTCTGCCATGTCAATTTGGACTTAGTTTTATTTTCGAATGTTGAAAGTGCTTACAAATTACCTCCTCTAAAGTACATTTTGTATTGAGCGCTGAGATAAAACTTTTCCAGTTGTTTTGTTATTTTGTATTTACATCTACGTAATGCTTTGTGTCGATTACTAAATCCAGCAAAACAGGTTTTTTCATTTCCACGAGTACTTTAGGGCCTATAACCTTCTCTATTGTCACACTACAACACAACAATACTACAATGCTACAACACTACTACACCATCCCATTTGTAACAAGTAGACCCTCTCTAGTGTCACACTACAACACTACACTACAACACCACACTACAATACTACAACACTACTACACTACAACACCGTCCTGATTGTAACGAGTATACCCTCCCTATTGCCACACTACAACACACAGCGTGGGTCCCACGTTCTGCTGTAGGCGCTGCACGACGACTGAAAAACACAAACGTGAACCCGACCGCGGCAACAGCCTTCGCCTGTGTGCACGTTTGCATCAGCGGTACCAACATATCATCGAGTAAGTTACTCACGTGCATGTTATAACACATAATGAAGCATGTTATAAACACATAGTGCAGCATGTTACTCACATGCATGCTATAAACACTCAACCATGTACTCGCTCTGTTGTGAGGTGCTGGGAAATGGAGTTTAACGTAGTGTTCAACTGTATAGCGGCGTGCATGCACGTGAAAATGTGGTTTCTTGAATTACTGCCGGTTTTTCAGTGTAAGCCCACTGACTATGTAAATTGCAGCATCGTATCTCAGTGACTGAGATACGATGCTGCAATGTACATGGACACCGTAGCAGACACAGTCCACTGACTCCGAGTCAACCAGTCCTTGTGTAATTCCTTAATGGTGCACGCCAGGCTGAGAGACAATACGTACAATCTCTTAACGTCTTTTAGTGTGGTGCGGTCGGGGATCGAACCACCGACTTTCACTATCCGGGCAAGCGCTCTACCTCTAGACCACGGAGGCGGTCCGCTCTCTTACGAACCTGTTATACCAATTCCGAAATTTCGATCTCCATGGAAATAGCAGAGTAAAGAACTTACCGCTACTTCTTCCATCCCATCTATCCCGTCACAGAACACCTTGAATTCGCCGAACGTGACTGTACCGTTGTCATCCGTGTCCATCTTGTCAAAAGCCTCGCGCACACAATCCAATATATTGTCCACTGCCTTTTGGTTTGCCATCGTTGTGTGTAATGTTCGTCTGTCAGCGGTAGGAAACACGACCGTCTGCTTTCTCGAGCTCGCTACGAATGCCAGCAGACGCCAGGGAATGCAAGCGAGGCCGACGAAAAATGAAAGCGAGGTTTATGTCAGGCTGCGCAAATCCTCGCGTTGTTTCCACGACACATGACCCGTCGTTTTACCGGGCTATCCATCACTCTGACTCTCCTGTCACGTTAACCTCTCGACAGAAGTCCATTTCAGCACACAAATGAGCACATTTATGTGCACGCGCGAACACCTCACGGACAGACCAGGTTTATACACATACAGTAACATGCGAGAGTTATGCGTTAAAGATAGGCACATGCGAACATCTCACAGAGACATGAGAGTTATTTTAGAGAGATACAAGAGAACACCTCACGGGGAAATGAGCTTTATATATGGAGAGAGACACATGCGAACACCTCACTAAGAAAATAGCCTTATATGTGGAAAGACATGCGAACGCCTCACGGAGAAATGAGCTTGATATATGGAGAGAGGCACGTGCGAACACCTCACTAAGAAAATAACCTTATATATGGAGAGACACATGCGAACGCCTCACGGAGAAATTAGCCTGTATATGGAGAGAAACACATGCGAACACCACACTAAGAAATTAGCCTGTATATGGAGAGAAACACATGCGAACACCTCACGGAGAAATTAGCTATATATATGGAGTGAGGCACATGCGAACACCTCACGGAGAAATTAGCTTTATATTATGGAGAGAGAGACACATGCGAACACCTCACAGAGTGAGTGAGTGAGTGAGTGAATTTGATTTTACGCCGCTTTTAGCAATATTCCAGCAATATCACGGCGGGGGACACCAGAAATGGGCTTCACACATTGTACCCATGTCGGGAATCGAACCCGGGTCTGCGGCGTGATGAGCTAACGCTTTAACCACTAGGCTACCCGACCGCCCCAACACCTCACAGAGAAATGAGCGTTATATTATGGCGAGAGACATATGCGAACACCTCACAGAGAAGTCAGCGGTATAATACATTTGCTGTATGTACGTGACACGGATAATGTATTTGCGCAGCCTAACAGCGCGCATCGATCCAGGACCAGTCTAGCCAGTCTACTGACCACCATGTGTTCACGCTGGGCACGCCCCCGGCATACCTCGGACCTGCTCGACTGGTCTGTGAGGTGGGCGGGGCCAGGTGAACCGTGACGACTACATGCCTGACACACAGGATGGGTGGGTCAAACACGTACTCCATGATGTTGTCTGGTCAAGTATGCCATTGTAAGGACAAGTATAGCATTGTTACCTGTATCATTGAGCTGCCAGGCATTGCATTGTGATGACAGCTAGATTATAGATCTTGAGATTGGCCGGGCGTGTGATGGGGAGGAGAGGGGACATGTACCCTAAGACAAGGGCAGCCAGACTCACATGTACTCTGATACAATGCTTTCAAACTCACATGTACGTTGATACAACGCTTTCAAACTCACATGTACGTGATACAACGCTTTCAAATTTACATGTACGTTGATACAACGCTTTCAAACTCACATGTACGTGATACAACGCTTTCAAACTCACATGTACGATGATACAACGCTTTCAAACTCACATGTACATTGATACAACGCTTTCAAACGCACATGTACGTTGATACAACGCTTTCAAACTCACATGTACATTGATACAACGCTTTCAAACTCACATGTACATTGATACGACGCTTTCAAACTCACATGTACGTTGATACAACGCTTTCAAACTCACATGTACATTGATACAACGCCAGCCAAAGTCACATGTACCCTGATACAACGCTTTCAAACTCACATGTACATTGATACGACGCTTTCAAACTCACATGTACGTTGATACAACGCTTTCAAACTCACATGTACATTGATACAACGCTTTCAAACTCACATGTACATTGAAACAACGCCAGCCAAACTCACATGTACGTTGATACAACGCTTTCAAACTCACAAGTTTATTGATACAACGCTTTCAAACACATGTACTTGATACAACCCCAGCCAAACTCAAATGTACCCTGATACAACGCCAGTCAAAGTCACATGTACCCTGATACAACGCCAGCCAAACTCACATGTACCCTGATCCAAGGCCAGCCAAACTCACATGTAACCTAATACAAGGCCAGCCAAACTCACATGTAACCTAATACAAGGCCAGCCAAACTCTCATGAGAACCACCCGCATACAGCACTGTATCTAGATATACCCTGATACAGCACTGTCTTTAGATATACCCTGATGCAGCACTGTCTTTAGATATACCCTGATACAGCACCGTATCTAGATATACCCTGATACAGCACTGTATCTAGATATACCCTGATACAGCACTGTATCTAGATATACCCTGATGCAGCACTGTCTTTAGATATACCCTGATGCAGAACTGTCTTTTGATATACCCTGATACAGCACTGTCTTCAGATTTACCCTGATACAGCACTGTCTTTAGATCCACCCTGAAACAGCACTGTCTTTAGATATACCCTGATACAGCAGTGTCTTTAGATAAACAATGATACAGCACTGTCTTTAGATATACCCTGATGCAGCACTGTCTTTAGATATACCCTGATACAGCACTGTCTTCAGATATACCCTGATACAGCACTGTCTTCAGATATACCCTGATACAGCACTGTCTTCAGATATACCCTGATACAGCACTGTCTTCAGATATACCCTGATACAGCATTGTCTTTAGATATACACTGATACAGCACTGTCTTTAGATATACCCTGATCCAGCACTGTCTTCAGATATACCCTGATACAGCACTGTCTTTAGGTATACCCTGATCCAGCACTGTCTTCAGATATACCCTGATACAGCACTGTCTTTAGGTATACCCTGATCCAGCACTGTCTTCAGATATACCCTGATACCGCACTGTCTTCAGATATACCCTGATACAGCACTGTCTTCAGATATACCCTGATACAGCACTGTCTCTAGATATACCCTGATACAGCACTGTCGTCAGATATACCTGATACAGCACTGTCTTCAGATATACCCTGATCCAGCACTGTCTTCAGATATACCCTGATACAGCAGTGTCTTCAGATATACCCTGATCCAGCAGTGTCTCTAGATATACCCTGATACAGCACTGTCTTTAGATATACCCTGATACAGCACTGTCTTTAGATATACCCTGATACAGCACTGTCTTTAGATATACCCTGATAAAGCACTGTCTCTAGATATACCCTGATACAGCACTGTCTTCAGATATACCCTGATGCAGCACTGTCTCTAGATATACCCTGATACAGCACTGTCTTCAGATATACCCTGATACAGCACTGTCTTCAGATAAACCCTGATCCAACACTGTCTTCAGATATACCCTGATACAGCAGTGTCTCTAGATATACCCTGATACAGCACTGTCTTTAGATATACCCTGATGCAGCACTGTCTTTAGATATACCCTGATACAGCACTGTCTTCAGATATACCCTGATACAGCACTGTCTTCAGATATACCCTGATACAGCACTGTCTTCAGATATACCCTGATACAGCACTGTCTTCAGATATACCCTGATACAGCACTGTCTTCAGATATACCCTGATCCAGCAGTGTCTCTAGATATACCCTGATACAGCACTGTCTCTAGATATACCCTGATCCAGCACTGTCTTCAGATATACCCTGATCCAGCACTGTCTTCAGATATACCCTGATACAGCACTGTCTTCAGATATACCCTGATACAGCACTGTCTTCAGATATACCCTGATACAGCACTGTCTTTAGATATACACTGATACAGCACTGTCTTTAGATATACCCTGATACAGCACTGTCTTTAGATATACCCTGATCCAGCACTGTCTTCAGATATACCCTGATACAGCACTGTCTTTAGGTATACCCTGATCCAGCACTGTCTTCAGATATACCCTGATACCGCACTGTCTTCAGATATACCCTGATCCAGCACTGTCTTCAGATATACCCTGATACAGCACTGTCTCTAGATATACCCTGATACAGCACTGTCGTCAGATATACCCTGATACAGCACTGTCTTCAGATATACCCTGATCCAGCACTGTCTTCAGATATACCCTGATACAGCAGTGTCTTCAGATATACCCTGATCCAGCAGTGTCTCTAGATATACCCTGATACAGCACTGTCTTTAGATATACCCTGATACAGCACTGTCTTTAGATATACCCAGATACAGCACTGTCTTTAGATATACCCTGATAAAGCACTGTCTCTAGATATACCCTGATACAGCACTGTCTTCAGATATACCCTGATGCAGCACTGTCTCTAGATATACCCTGATACAGCACTGTCTTCAGATATACCCTGATACAGCACTGTCTTCAGATAAACCCTGATCCAACACTGTCTTCAGATATACCCTGATACAGCAGTGTCTCTAGATATACCCTGATACAGCACTGTCTTTATATATACCCTGATACAGCATTGTCTTCAGATATACCCTGATACAGCACTGTCTTTAGATAAACCATGATACAGCACTGTCTTTAGATAAACCATGATACAGCACTGTCTTCAGATATACCCTGATACAGCAGTGTCTCTAGATATACCCTTGTTGTAGCTGGGACTATCAGGTGGCCAGATCTCAAGTTTCTGTCCTGTTGGCAACTATGTCAGGTCAGGTCTACACAGACGAGGAACTGCCTACCACATACCAGCATACCAGAGATCACGTGAAAGATATGTGTAACAACCACGTTTCTGAAACGCAGTAGAAGGATTCTCGGTATTTTAAAATATCCTCCTTCCCACAACACTCGAGCTATGACAACCTCCATCTTCCCACAACACTCGAGCTATGACAACCTCCACCTTCCCACAACATTCGAGCTATGGCAACCTCCATCTTCCCACAACACTGTAGCTATGACAATCTCCATCTCCCACAACACTCGAGCTGTGACAACCTCTACCTTCCCACAACACTCGAGCTATGATACACTCCACTTTCCTACAACACTCGAGCTGTGACAACCCCCACCTTCCCACAACACTCG